CTGAGAAATAATTTTATTTTTCTAACTAATTTTTATAATTTTTATTATTATTATAAAGACAAATATAATTTATTTATTTTATATATACAATATGGACGTCAATTGAAGCTCATCAAAAGATACAAAAGTTATTAACTTTTAAAATACATTTGCAATTCAATAATTATAATGAGAAATGATATTAAAATACAATTAATAAATCTAAAATGATCATAAATAAATCAACATTTTTATGGTAATATGAACTTAAATTTTTTTTTTTATTGAAATTAAATTAAAATATTATTTGTCCAAACTTAATTACAAAGCATATTATTTGCTAAGTATGATTCTGAAACACCAGAATTAGCCACGTAATCTCTGCGCATTTGGGAATTATATATAGACGCCGACCAAATATATTCCCTAGTGTTTCCTCACAATACCAACCGAAACGATAGCTGGGATGAGACGACAATGCCGTTGAGCTCAATACTCATGTCCACTCTCTCCTCTCTCTACTTCCCACCAAAATCCCTTTTTCCCAAAGCCTACTCTACCGCTAATGCTTTCAGGCACTTCGTTTCTATACCTCGACCGTTGTTTACGAATTTCCGGCCGCTGTCTCTATCCGCCCCCTCGGCTGTTGAATCGGAACCCTTGTCTTCACCATCAATTACTCCCGCCGTGAAGACGATTGACCCTCTGTACTTGTCATGTTGTTTGCCGGAAAGGAAGCCTCTGAAAGTGGCGGTCCTTATCAGCGGCGGCGTCGACAGCAGCGTTGCCCTCCGCCTACTCCACGCCGCCGGTCATTCCTGCACCGGATTTTACCTCAAAATATGGTTTCAAGTACTCAATTTTGTTCCTTTTATCTCTTATAGTAAATATCTCGGGTTGGTTTATTTTTCTTCCTCCAAGCGTTGTGTATGCTAATGGTTGTCTGCTATTACCAAATATTTGGGTTCTTTTTTTGTTTTTTTATTTTTTTTTTAATTTTTTTTTTTTTCTCAAATAAGTTGAACCTAGCAGCAAGAATCAAGGAATAATTAGATACATCCAGAAGGGCCAGAGTGTTAGAGTTCTTTTCATGATGTAGCCTTTGATCACAGCCTTGCCATTTGGGCAAGACCTCTTTGAAGTTTTTATTGGGTTTAGTTGGCATGAATTGGTCACGAGCCTGCAAATTTTCTTGAAACTATATGCTTGCATTTGTTATCGAGCTCATTCTCAAGCAATCTAGTGGAATTCACTCATTGAATTTCGTATCAATGAATTCGTGGCATTTTAGTATATTCGTCTTGCTATAGGAAGAGTATAACTCTGTATGATACCATTATTATTGTAGGAAGACTTTGACAACTTCTGGTCTGAATGCCCCTGGGAAGAAGATTTGAAGTATGCAAGAGCTGTTTGTGATCAGGTTTATGTATATGCATCTTCTTCTTTTTTTTTTTTTATGTTGGCCATATCTGGAAACCCTCTTGTATTGATTTTTCAGCTAGAAGAAATTGCAATATATTCTTATACTACTTACCGGTTAATTATTTTCCTGTTGACCTACAGTTTATATTGAGAAAATTCACATTTATAACCATGTGGTATGATAAGATAAACAAAGACAATAATCAAGTTTCTTTTAAACTGTTTCTGAAGTCAGACCTGGATAGTAATTTGCATCAAAAACATGCTCCTGATTATCCTTGTGTGTAAATGGTAGCACCTACATAAAAAATGTCTTGCCAGCATCTGTTAACTGTATTTAATGGGATTTGAGGTCCATTTCCTGTAATGCTGTTCACATCATACTTTCCCTTTTTCTTTATTGTAATTCTAGTTGAGTCTAAATTTAGTCGTTAGTGTGTTGCAGGTCGATGTACCTCTAGAAGTTGTGCATTTGACTGATGAATACTGGAATAATGTGGTAAATATAACATTCTTTTCTCATGCTGTTTATTTGATAAGTTAGCATGATTTCAGTTATGAATTAATTCCTAGCATAAATGTTGTCAAGAGTGTTACTTTCTTGCCACATTTTAGAGAAAGGCTGATAAATCAAAAAGAAAAATAATTGAATGATTTGTGTCTGTCTTAGGTATCATATATTATCGATGAATATCGATATGGCCGCACTCCAAATCCAGATGTGCTCTGCAATACAAGAATTAAGTTTGGTTTGTTTTCATACCCCCTTGTGAATATTCTCACGACTCACTATTACATGATTTATCAATTGATTGTTCGTGAGTTCGATTACAGGTGCATTCGTAGAAGCCATAGGCGGCATGTCGTTTGACTTCATTGCCTCTGGACATTACGCAAAGGTTGTTCACTCGGATAGTGGGGATAAAGATGGGTCGTCTTCTTTAAAATTGTCCAAAGATATGGTACATTTG